AAAGAGTTTGGAGCCATGTGCTCCCTTTTGCCGCTCTTAGAAACCAGCGTGACCCATATCTTTATGAATCCTTTCTGGTCTGCTCCATACACCCCTTTTGAAGGAAATTTGTGTCCGGGGCTTGCAGCATCAGCCTGTTTTACCACCATGAAGCTGCAGTTTGATTATCTCTCTAAGTCGACCAAAGCACAGGCTCTCACTGAAAGGGGCAATTCCACCTTCCCCCAGCCCACGTGTCCCTCTTCCTCAAGCCATCAGGGTGACCATAAGAAAAAGGGTCTTTTCCTCAGGCGGGGTATTTTTCAGCTGGATCAGTTCCCCTGCAGTCACAGCAGCTGTAGTTTTGCCACAAAGCAAGGGCCAGGAAAAAGGCTGGAACTGTGCCTTAAGAGCTTAGTGCAAAATCATGAAGTTGCAACTTCAGGTTCCTGGGTCATTTGTCCCTGCAAATAACATGGATTTATAGCCCTGGTTAGGAAAGTCTCCTTGGCTGCAGCTTTGTGGCTCACATTACAATGGGCCAAATGCAAACTCCTAGGTCCCAAAAGTACAGAGAGCTCTGAGGGAAGTCTGGAACTAGTTAGAGTTTTCGGTTTGGGATCAGGTCTAAACAGTTATTCAGAACTGGCCTTGAAAATGCAATCATATCATTTATTTATATCCTTACCAGAGCAAACCAGTGGGGCTGCAGCTCAGCCTCACAGATCTCACCTTCTATTGTCTACAGAGTTTGTGAAATCTCCATCTGTAGAGGTTTTCAAAACAGCTGGGCAAGGCCTCGAGCAGCCTGATATGACTTTGAAGTTAGCCCTGCTTTGAGCACGAAGTTGGACTAGAGACCTCCAGAGGTCCCTCCCAAATGGTATTATTCTGTGATTCTGCCACCTTCTGCTGCATTTGCATCAGGCTCTGTTACACCCCCACCACTCGACTGATCAGCAAGCAGTTCCCACATTGATGCAGAAATCAAGGAGCCTGAGTCAACCAACTCTTCATGGCGCTGGCTGCATTAGCTCAGGAGCTAAAGGACAGCACAGAGCTTATCTGTATGCAGTTGGCTGAGGAGAGCACTGCTGACAGTCGCTGCAAGAAAGACTCCTTGCCACCACAGCACACACTAGAATAAGCTTTGCATTGCAAAAGAAACTGGCACAGATCTGGCAGGGGCCTCAAGATGAAGATTGCAGAACATCTTCTCTTCTTCTCAGCAGGATACAGTCTTCATTCTCAGCAGGAACAAGCGCAAAATACAAATCACTGAGCACTTGCTGCTTTTGGTCCAAGTCATTACACAGCACCCATGCTTACCCTCCGTAAAAGGACTGATGACAGGGGCTATCTTGTCGTTTCCACATGTCCCTTCAGAGATTTTAGCAGCTTTCATCCACTAGATTGAAATCAGATCAGTTGAAAGAACACTACAAATTCATTTGGGATGAGAAAGCTCAAGAACGCTCTGGGGGCTGAGGTTCAGCGTTAGGACACAAAGACCTGAGGGAGTCCTGCTCCATCAGCCTGTTTGCAAAGATGAGAGTTGAGCTCACTGCTCTTCTTGCAGAACACCCCTCTGGGGACACTTCTCCAACAGCCAGAGGGTAGATCAGTTTTTTTCTTGATGCTTGTCAAGCCTGGAGACTTCATGTGTAAGGCAAAGGGGCACGGGGAAGCGGGAGCAGAAGATGTGGGTCACTGAGCCCCATCCCCAGCCCTGGCAATACAAGGTTGCTGCCATCTCGTGGCTGGCTCTGGCCATGCAAAGGTAACGGGACACATTTTTCCAGCAGAAAAAAATTTGCATTGAGATAAAATCTCTCCTGGAAGTAAGTTTCAGCTGGAGGGAGCAGGGGGACAAACAGGAGTTAGGCACCATGGGGCCATGGCACTTGGATATCGCAGCTTTGCTGTTCACGGGAGGTCTCCTGCTTACCTTCTGCACTAACTTCTGGCCCTTGTTTGGGATGGGGCTCCACCTCAAGCCAGAGTAACCGTTTCTCTGTCAAGCCATCACTTCTATGTCCCCCATAACCTAAAGAGACAGCAGACATCTATGTTGCTGTCAAGAGGCCCGTGATTTGCTGTGCACATGCAGCACTCAATGTGTGAGGCCATTCAGCCTGGCCCTCAGGATTGTCTGGTGTTGGGAAGGGAGAAGATCTGCAGGGAAACAGAAACATGTTATGGTCCTCTGCTTGGTCAGATGGCATGGATACAGTCTCCAGTATTGTTTCTTTTGGCATCTTTCATTGAGCTGTGATGCTGATGCAGGAATTTGTACTGTGAATAAAGTACAAATGGAGGAGAACCACATGGTCACTGTTTCTTCCCCTTTCAGCCTCTCTACAGAGCTCAGCAGCATGCACAGACCTTGCAAGAGATGTGTGAGCAGCCATATATTCCCCATGGGATCTCCACAGCCCTAACATGAAGCTGCTTCCTCCTAGGCAGGAGAACAGCGGCCCAAAGAGACCCACCAGCAGAAAAACAAGTCCTAACAGCTCAACAGAGACCACATTGAAGCAGAGAGCTGGCTGCACTGCCTTCAGCAAAGCTCTTGTAGGTGATGTCTTGCAGACACTTGCGGATCCCTCCTCCTTCCTTATGTCTAAACCTGGGAATAGGGTCCAACTTCCCCTTCTCCCTCCTGGGATGCTCCAGGTCCTGTACCTGCACAGTTTACCAGGAAACAGAGGAACAAGGGCTCCAGAAAAACTGCCCATCCACCAGCATTTCTGTGGTGTTTGCTGGGTATTTCCAGGCTTCTCTCTTTGTGCAGTGCGTATTGTGGCTCACGTCACAGAAACTGAGGAGAAATACTTATATATATGAGTCCCCTTGAGAAGATTCCAGGCAGTGGGGAGATGACAGCTCAGTGACCTGACAATATCCTCGCTACCCAGGGAGCTTCCTGTAACGATAAGACTACAAAGGAATATTTATTTATCTAGATACTTATTCAGCTTTCATCTTTGGCAGCATTTCTCAATCAGCCGTTTCAAAATGTTTTGCCAACAGTGATTAACCCTCACAGCACCTCTGCGGGAGGGATCAGCACCCCCACACCACAAACAGGGGGACTGAACAGAGAAGACAAGTAACCCCTTCACATCACAAACTCCAAAGAGTGGAGAAGACAAGCAACCCCTTCAAGAAAGAAATGAAGGGAGCAAAGAAATAACGATATCCTGAAATCCCAATCCCATATCCTAACAAAACCACCCCCTACAAGGCGCCAAACCTGCAGAGATCCTTCTGTTTGAAATGCAAGCAGCAACCTGCCATTCTTAGCATACAAACTGCCCATATTCCTCAGCCGTGTGCCGAGGAAGCACTGTTCGGATCTTTAATATGACCCAAAAAATGTGGTGCCCTGAAGCAACATTACACAACCCAGAAATCCCTAACAAGCTGCAGCCCTGGTCAGCTGCACAGCCTGTGCCACCGGGCGGATTTTCCCATGATGTTGCACATGATACTTATTGCATTCATTAACCAAGTTAAGGGTGGCTAAGAATAGACCCCAGATGTCCTCCTGGCCTTAAAAAACTTCTTTGCCCTCAAGGAAATGCAAAGCCTAAGCGGCTTATGGCATGTGTGGGACATGAACAACAAACCAAACTTATGAAGAGCTTGCACATTTCCAAGAACTCACAAAGTACATCTCTGCTTTTAAATAATCTCTGTTCCAGTTGGGGGAAATAAGTGTTTAGCAAGGATAACACAGAACAGAGCAATGAATATTCAATTGTATCATTCATTGATACAGAGATTATGCCAGACAGAGCGAGCCATGGCTGTTCAAATGTCTTAGTTTTCTTTTATCTATTTCTGTGATGTTACCACTGCTGCAAATTTGCAATTGTGTAATAAACTGAGATTTCCGAACAAAGACCATTTGATATTATGCCTTTAGAAAAATGCATCTTAAGTACAATTTATTCCCGAATTATTTTTTTTGGTAATGGAAATTATTCTATAGTCTCATTTTTAATACACACTCCCTGATACATTTGAGAAATTTCCCAAAGCGTACTAAAGATAGCACTATGGTTTTCTGCATCACTGCTAAAAATCAAAGCATTCATGTGCAGAATAAAGAGAAATTTCTTTCTGTATAAGCACTTTCCTTCTGTTGCCTGAATCCAGTCTCTTGATAATCAGCAATTACAGAAAAGAACTATAACAATCAAATGGGAGTTTGCACTTACAGAAAATCGTGCTATTTATTGCATGATTTATTCAGATGGAGAAAGCTGTTCAGAAACCTAATGGTAACTGAAAGAAACTGCTATTTCAGAAAGCTGAAATTGTATTAATAGAGAGTCTAAAGAATCTAGAGAAGAACACAATCCATTTGGAACTGATTTGGTCTTCTCAGAAAAAGGAGAGTAAATACAGGGATTTAAGGATCTTTTCCCCCATTAAAATGTATTACTTTTTTCAACTGATATTTTATCAAATCATCTTTAAAATTATATGATATTTTGGAAGGTGATATTTGGGTTTCTATAGCACTATTGACTTAGGGAACCTCCAGTAAATGGAAGTTCATTCACCCATACCACAGTTGTGACTGTTCAGACTTTACAAAGAGAAAGAACCAGGAAGATGTTATGAAATTATAAATTACAGTCACTTCCACAATCAGGGGCTCCAGCTCCCATTTCATCAACCCGCTGCTTTTCCTGCAGAGTTGGGGTTAAATACCCAATTCCCAGGCCCATGTGGACTGAAAGAGTGAATAAAGAACCCCCCAAGACCTCTTACACCACAAGTTTTCTTCCTTTTCCACACTGATGTCTGGTTGGAACTTCAGCAAGCTGCCTGCTCAGGAGATTTTGCGAAGCTTCCTGTGGTGGCCAGGCTCCAGGAGGACCCACCTGCCACCCATGCTCCCCTCCATCAAGGTAGGGACACTTGTCCTGGCCGCAGGGGACCCAGGAAGGGAGCGATGGATCCTTTCTGCCTGCGGGTCGGATGCCGCCTGGCAACGGGAGCGCAGGTTTCCATGGCAGTGCAAACAAGAGCCGGAGGAAAGCCCAGAGCTGACAACCACATCCACCTCCCCATCTGACCACAGCCCGCTTGCAGAGAGGAGCCCAGAGGACCTCTGCTTTGGGTGAGAAACCGAAAATAAGGGGGTGAGTGCAATCACCGCAATTTCTTTTCTCTTTTCAACATCAGACGCAGCGTCTCACTCAGACAAGTGGGAGTGCCGGCTTGTGTCGCCGGGAGATCACACACACTAACCCTCTCCTTCTCCGTGGGCGAGGGAGGGGGTGTGATTGGGAAACAAGACACATCTGTCCCTGGAAGAGTTGCTCTGTAGCTCAAAACTCGGAGTGGTTTCCCAGTGAGCATAACGAGCCTTCTCTGCAAGCGATGGTATCATTTAAATCTTTTGAGTGTATGAAACATACGCTCATTCAGTGCTCTGGAAACATGGTGGATGGATTTTATTGTATTATTTTTTTAGACCTGTTGGCATATTTACTTTGGCATATTTTTTTCTGCGCAGCAGCTCGGTGCTAGGGAAAAGCATTGAATAAATGTTTCAGTAAATTAAAACCATGAATGCCTTATCTATTGATTCACATACTACTGGCCATTGGTATGTAGCTACTGAAACCTAAAAATGTCAGAGGCAGTGAAATATCTGCCAAATGATTCTCGCAACAAAGCAATTTCTTATTTGCATTATTGAGCTTAATAATTATAATTAGCACAACTAATGCTTCTGTAGCTTTTGGCATTATTTGCAAAGTGATGTGCAAACAATCTATTAAAAAAAAATCACCTCAAACAAAAAATACCTTAATAAAATGAATATTTATAAGTTAATCTTAAAAACAGCTTTCTATACTTTGCTAAAATTATATTACAAAGCACTTCTTATCTCAGACACTGACCCTTTCCATATGCCAGTATCCCCTGTCTAGTCCTGCTTTTCAGTCCCATTCCCTGTAGCAGGAATTTAAATCAACCACATGAACAAGAAGATTTTTATGAGAAGAGGTGTAGATTACAGAAGTCAAGGTGTGCACTAAGGGGGCTGAGCATCCAGGTGTTTGGTGCTACTGCTCTGCATATTTCACAAAGTGTGTTCAACCCTACGCTACAGGTGTTGGACTGCTTTCCTACCCCTGGTCTGACAAGGTTTTCTCCAAAACTCACATCATCAGCAGGGGTTGTGTTGTTCCAGGACGTAGATGAGGGACCCCCTATAGAAAATTACCCCATTAAGTTATGCAAAGTTCAGAGGGACATGAAATCTAAGCAACCAGTCAAGGAGGCTTTTGGAAAAGGTATTTCAATAACTGGAAAAGAGAAAGAAAACTTTTGGGATGTATTCAAACAGCCTAAATTCTACCTCAGCGTCTGCGTCTCATCAACAGTGAAAGTTTGACACCTCCAAAGAATAAGATGCTAATTGGGCAGCTGCAGAAACACAGTCAGTAGGAAACACAAAGAGCCAAGGACGTACATAGAAATTAGGCCAGATGAGTTTAGCTCAAAATACATAAAAACTGGAGGCTGTTCAGAGAAAAAAAAATGATGCTCTAAAATAGCCTTAAAACTAGTGTAAGCGGAAGAGGACATTTTCTGGTGTATCTTATAACAGTGCAGATCAGGAATGGTCCCAGCAGCAGAATTGCATCAATTGAACTAATACCTCACTGGACCCAGCTTGCTGCCTTTGTTGATTAAAGGATAACTTTAACAATGGTCTATCTGTTCTTTGTAAGTGAGATCATTACAATTATGCCTTTTCCCCTAGGACCCACAGCAAAGACTACAAAAAGAGGCTGGATTCGGAGAAACAAAAATCTAACCTTCGACAGTTTGCCAGCCTAAAATTAAACACGACAGAGTTCCCTACAGCATGTCTGTGCTGTCCAACAATCGTTCAGCCTTATCACAAGAAACCCACAGTGCCAAAGCAATTACTGGTAAGAGCTTTAGGGAGTAAAAATGCTGCTTGTGAAGCAGCGATAGGAGGATGAAAAAGTATGGGTGTGGATCAGAACTGGAGACGTGGATGGGACAAGAGGCAAGGGACTTGAGCTGCTTGTTATCTCCAGATTGTTTTGTCTTTGCTTTCCCATCTGTGTGTGTGTAAGATGGACTGTGTTTTACACAGCTTTCAAGTAAGCCAGGGATGAACATCTGCTTTTTGGGGTCAGAACACCTTCCAGTTTACTGAAGCTTTTTGTTAATTCCTACAGACACAAAAGGCTCAGTGGTTAAGATCCAGAAAGTCCCTAAGCCCATCACTGCTGTAAATCTTACCACCTCAGTTACTGGCAGGTCCCAACTGATTGATTTGTTTATGGTTTTCCTTGGACCAGGGTCAAAGATGCCATCTCCACGTACAGAGTCAACAACTGAAAGTCTCTTTTCCAAATCTGAAATGCAAACTCAGCTTATGCTGTCAGGTAAGGTCACGATGCTCCGGCAGCTTTTTTTGTGAGGTCAAAGGAGAGGCCTGTATTCAGACTTTTCTGCCCACAACCAGATGAGGTGGGTAAAACAGCTCCAGATTTACAAAAATCCCCAGCTGAAATCCTGAGATGATCAGCATATATGGTCAAGTGACATAAACAATACAGAGGTCACAGTTATATCGCTGGCTTGTTATAAGCCCTATCCAGCTCCTCGCTTCTGATTCAGCTTTGTTAGACATCTGCAGCTGTGAGCACAGCTGCCCACCCTCCAGGCGTGATGCAGCAGACCAGAGTGCCTTTGCACTGAGTCCTGATATTCTGCCTCGCGTCTTCTACACCCTCATCCATTTTTTTCAGACAACCCAGAAGAGGATGAAGAAAACCCAATGAAAAATCCATTTACAATTCCTCCAGAAATAGACATTTTCTCAATAGGGAACGAGGAAAGAAAAAAGGCTAAGGCGGTATGTATACATGCTTTAGGCCAATGTATATACTAACAGTTCACTAGGACAGGAAACCAACTAGTATAATGCCCAAATTTAGTGCATGAGAGAAATAATAGCTTCCAAATTCAGCTGAGATTCCCCCAGATCAGCTTCAGGTCCACTGAAGCCTACCTTGAGAGATTAAATTTACCAAGAGCAAATCTGAGCACAGGCTTGCTGGTTGCTTGTGCAAAATCTGGATATTGTCACTTTGTTTACTTCAAGGTACATTTGCCACTCATTCCTGTTCCTGGAGAACATGCAGTGCTGTTAGCATTTACTGCTACATAAAGCTTTGGTACAAGATCTCTTGGTTTCCACTTCAACAGGCTTGGCTTTCTGCTTGGAAAGCTGCATGTTTTGCAAACATGCAAACATCCCATGTTTGATGTGATCTTCTGAGCTGCCAACAAAATGAATGCCTAGGAAGGAGGAGACAATATGGGTTTCATGCCTTAGATTTCTCTACATAAGATAGGGTAAGATAGCAAATTGCAAACCACCAGACCAGAGAGCCAGGTCTCAGGACTGTCTCTCTTTCTTATTTCTGCGGTGGACTTTCCTTAGGGCATAGAGTTCACAGGAGGTGGGAAGTCATGGAAAGGTTGTTGCATCTCAGAGAAGCTAAGCAGTAGTGTGGAAGCAAGAGGTCTTCGTTTCTGAATCACAAAGGGAGGGCTCCAAACAAGGTTAAGCAAGGCTCCTCACCTCACATTGATGACTGATACAGTCTGGTTTTTGCTTGGTTTGAAGGTCACTACACAAGTATGGGGAAGAGCTTTGGAAGAAGTGCACTAAGAATGTCTGCTGAGTGATGTCCTCAGCCTAACCCATGCCCAAACTGAGCAGACAGCAATGAATTGCACTTCAGCCCATGTGAAAGCACTGAGCATAAACAACCTTTTACCCACCAGGAAGCTCTGGAGTGGGTTTAAACAGCTCCTCTCAATCTGAACTTGAAGGTTTACACGCTTTTGTGAAAATTGGACTGAGTTGGTACCAAACGTCCTGTTGTTGTTCGCTTTTACTAGGGGACTTGAAGGATGAATCTCTGAAAATTTCCATTCTCTCCCAGGAATAATCCAAGAAGGAAAAATGAGGACACTGAGTAGGTACAAACTGGCACAGCTGGTGGCTTGATGCTGAATACAAATCAACAAACTAATGAGAACAAATGCTAAGAAATTTAATGTTTTGGTTGACTCAAGAGAGAATATAATTTGGATTAGTCAGATAAACCAGGCAAATGTGCATCAGCAGAGTATCAGTAGCCTGCAAGTTTCTAGACTGTGAATAACCACTCATGTCTTTAAAAACCATAGCAAACAAAGCACATAATCAGACTTTCCACATAAATGAGTTCTCCTCGTAGGAACGTGAAAGGATGAAGACCATGAAAATCCACGAGAAAATGACTTATTCCGCTAAAATAAAAGCAGAGCAAAAAGGGTGCAGGAAAGCTCTGCAAAAGGAGGAAGAAGAGGAGGCCAGAAAAGAGGCAACAAATGAAGAGAGACTGAAAACTCTTCAGGAGACTCTGTCATGGAAGATGTCCACAAATAAAGGTAGGGAACAGTTCCTATCTTTGTAGTGGTGCTGCTCATCTGGGTAACAGCCTGAAGCAAAAATCGAAGAGGCGACGGGAGTAGCAGTTAGCTCTAGCTGACTTTGGTGAGCTCTTGCAGACACAACAGTTATACACTGCATCTTGGTAGCCTCGGTGTGGCTGGGCCATCTCCACTTCATGCATTTATATACAGAGCATATGTCATCCCCACCGCAGTAGCCTGGGTTCCACCATCCCCTGTGGCCTTCACAGTAGCTGGGAGCTCTCAGAATCAGCTGGGAGTCAGCTGTGAGTTTGCGAGACCTTGTGTTATGGAGACATTTCTACTAAGCTGACCTGAAATTGGATTTTAGTGGATGTGGGCCTAAATTTTCTGCCTCTGACATGAGGAGCAACTTTGCTATTAAAGCCTAGAGGACATAGACCTTTGTAAGGACTAGATTCTCCATTCTACCTGGTGTTACTTCATGAAAGCCCATATGAAACTCATCATAAACACGGTCAAAACTATAATAGATCAATCAGTATTGCTGGCTCCAGCACCAACCACGTCCATGCTCACAGCAGCCTACATATTCACTGTGTTTTGTCTTGGCTGTATTTCCCCCACTAGTCTGATCAACTTTATATCCTAATTTCAGATAACCTACTAGAAAAGGAGACCTTCCATGACTACATAAATGACGAAAGAGAGATATTTTTACTTGAGGTACTTGGCTTTAAGAATGTTACTTCTGTTAATTTCTTCTTCTCTGTGTCACTTTGCTGTGTTGGTTTTTTTCCCCTGAGATCCATTGCCTGGAGATCACACCAAGGAGGCACACATCAGACCTCATGACTGTCCAAATTCTGTGTTAAAGACGCTCATAGTCTATTGCCCAGCAACCCCCAACCAAGAAAGAAATGACACAAGTCATTTGCACCATCCAGTAGCAGCCATGCTGCTATTTCATTTGCGAGATGTGCAGATATACCAACCTTTTGGCTCTTGCTGTCCCATACATAAATTATAGCTGGGAGCCATTCTGAACTCAAAATAAGGGAGTCATGTCAGAATATCCCAATTACTCATCTCTATTATTGTGCTGTAACACAACTGAATCAATCTTTGTCAGCCAGGAGTTAACACAATGCTGAGACTTCTGGATTCTGCCTTTTGTTTCACTGCTTATTGGCTATGTTACTTCTGAAACATCTCCTGGCCTCTGTGTACCTAGTTTGCACTAGGAAACCTCGGTTTGAAATCCTTACCCTTTCTGCCAACAACTATAAGGCAATAGGGTAACCAAGAACAAAGCTAAACCAATACACCTTTAAAACCCACCAACTGATGTGACTGTGTTGCCTTTTGGGTTCATTTCAGTATGCCATGACAGTAAAGCGAGATGAGATTCAAAAGATGGAGAAAGTAGCAAAGATCGAGGAAAGAAAACTGAAAAAGGCTGAATACAACCTGGAAAAGGATGCTGCCATGTTTACTGAGTTCCTGAAGGAGAGCCATAAAAACTCTGTTCAAGCCCTGAAAATGTAAGGGAAGTTGAGGGAACCACCTGTGTGCTCTATTGTGCTGGACACAGCAGGTCTCTTGCTTGACCTCCCTGCACACCTCTGCTAGCATCCATCCTCAAATGCTCTATGTCTGAGTTTTCCCAGAGTTACAGTCCTGGTGGCACTTTCTCCCCACACTTGCAGTGAAATGGAGGAAGGAGACCAATAGCTGGGGAAACCCCTTGTTGCAAAAGCCCTTGATTTGGCTGCAGCAAGGAACCTGCTATTGACCCCACCACTTCTGTTCTTCTCATAACCCCCTTCTGTGAGGGAGATGTTTCTGCCCAACCCCTCACAGCAGAGCAGTGAAGCAAGTTAGGCACTTTGGCCCATCACAGGTATCACAAGGGCAAAGCAACAACTGATGCTCAGCAGCAGCCAAGTTAGGAAGGCCCTAACCTGGAAGTGTTGCTGGGACCCCATACTCTCTTTGCTAAGACAAGCAGGGCCTTCCAGCAGGAGCCAAGCATCACTTGAGGTACATCTATAAGAGAGATTTCTAGCAATGCTCCCAACATCTTTTTCTCTGTTTTATATGCACCTCAATTCACTACCCACTTACTGTTAAATTGTTTTATGGCTTATGTTTATGCATTCTTCCCTAGTGCCGAAAAAGAAAGGACAGCAAAGACAAAGAAAATAAAGGAGATCCAGGCAATCACTTCCCAAATCGAGCACCTCCAGAGGTAACGGTTGCACACTACTCCTGCCTGGCCTTTAACAGTGCTATACCCTCATAACCCTCGGGGAAAAAGATTTCTCAACATGTTCAATTTTAAGAGTCAAAACATTTCATCTTTTGTTTTCCAGATACTGGCTTTGTTTCTAAAACATCTCAATTAGGTTTTTTTATGATATTTTGTAAAAGTATGAATATCCCAAAACTAAAATTAAATGCCTAGTCTCAGATTAAAAAACAAACAAAGCTAAGTAATGCATTTTAATGATGACCTGGGGAAAGAAGAAGAAAAAAGAGTTATAAATCCCATTATGAATTGAGCTGGCAAGATTTCTCATTCATTTTCAAGAAAAAAAATCCTAATTAGCAAGCCCAGTGTCATAGCAAAGGCCTGGCCACAAAGATGTGACCAGACAGCTTCCACATGAGGAACCACAGAGAGTACACAAGGCAGGTTCCTGTTTGTTTTTGCATGTTCATGAAGACATGTGCCCTCTTGTTGCTTCTCTGGGTGAGGCTGAACGTCAAGAGTTAGAAAGAACCTGTTAAAACAGGGGCTTTCCTGCTTGCTAACCAACTTTGCCCACTTCTCTCACCCCAGTGATATATCCAGATTCAAGAATAATCTGCAGAAGTACAAGACGTACAGGGACTTCCTCTATGAACTATCTCCAAAAGAGTGGCAGGAGGAACATAGAATAAAGCACACAAAGGAAAAGGATTTGAAAATAACATCCAAAGCTATTGAAGAAATTGCCTCAACTCCCACCACTGCAGAGCAGGGAAAGCGTCAGAGAAAAACTACCCGCTTCGCACTGGAACAGCCCCAGGCTCAAATCAGACACGTCTACTTCTCTCCAGACCAGGGTCTGGCAGCCAGTCCCTCTAGTACCAGTCCTACAAATGTGTCAAATTCCCTGCTGTCTTCAAAAAGCCTGGCACTCATGTCATTATTTGAGATCAGGCCACATCTCAAAAACCTTCTGAAGCCTCTATCAAGAAGAAAAGTGTAAGTACAAGACAATGCAAATGACAGACTTAAGCACAGTAGAGAGCACTCAACTGAGAGGAAACCCGCTCCTCACCTTCACTGTGAGCATACCAAGACCTCATTCTAGCTGGAGCAAATCCAAACACCAGTAGAAAGCCATCAGGTGTGCAAGTCAGCACCTGTGCACACTCTCCAACAGAGCTCCATCCTCAAATTCTCTGCTGAGATCACCTGCCCAGAGTCTGGGCCTTGATCCCAGGAGGAATCATAGACCTTGGGCATTTGTAGCAAAGCTTCTCTGTGGCCTATTTGTGGGTGAGTTACTGGTTCGCTCTGCTGGTCACAGCTGCCATACAAATAGCTGCCTGTTGTTTTTGCCATTTAATGAAGGTCCAAGATCACTGTAGACCCACATTGCACTGTCTACTTTCAGTAAGAGCCTTCAAGCAGCATATGCTGGGACACGGGGAGAGTAACGCTGCTGGTTCCTCTAGGTAGGCAGGGCCAGTTTGAGAACAGGAGGGGCAGGTGGGAGTATAAGGTATGTATGGTCAGCTCCAGCTTCTTGAGGCACAGAAATTGCCTGGAAAAGCAAAGCCTGAGTGGCTGGCGAGTCTCCTAAGGCCAAAAAAAAAAAAAAAACCCCTATCAATAGAGTTTGAACTAAGTCATTGCTTGCAGGGCCATTTCCTCTGCCTCCACTCAGAGCACTGCTGGTGCCAGGTCCTCTCAAGCAGGGCTGCCACGTGCCACCTCTTGTGGAGCTACTGCAATTGCTGGGCTACTGCCACATAGCAGGAACAATGTGGACACAAGTGGGGCTGATATTAAGATGATGCAAATGGAAGTTTTTCACCTCTCCATGAGGTGGAACAGAGTGTCATGTACAAGAAAAGGTGATGAGCAGACTCTGCTCCCAGCATCAGTCAGGCACCTCTTGCCCTGCTCTTCCAGCTCTTGTGCTGGCTTGTGCCTGGGGCTGAGCAGGGAAGAAAGAGGACACACTGCTAGTTAATGGTAATAGACTGTGCAGAGAAAAAAGCACTCAACAACCTTCTCCCAGGTCAGGTAAAAACTGCAGATTCCCGTGGTGGCTACACCATGTTGTTTAGGAGCAGCACCACATCCCACATGGGGCACAAGGCCTTCTCTACCCTTGCCATGCTGCTGCCTGGGTCTTTTTAACAAGGCTCCTGCCTTTGCCTTCTCATTGCTCAAGAGCCCAGTCTCCCATCAAGTTTAAAGGCATTTGGATCAACACCATTCAGGCTCATGTGCCATGTCCTGACCCTGCTGGCCAGCAGAGCCCAGAGCAGCTCAAAGGGCAGCTTCCTCATGGACAGACGTAGCTCCCACAGCGTGTGTCTGTGACCCAAAAAGCCCACAGCCATGGGGGGCCAAATGTGTGAATGTACAAAGGACTATTCAGGAGCAAATAGCAAACAACAACAGTGTTCATAATTCACTAGCAAGGTCTCCTTTGAGCTATCATTTCTCTAAGGGCCTGATACACAAAATGCTTTTTTTCAGAAATATCCCAGAGGGCACAGAAAGCGAAACCTGCTCGGACGAAGATGAGGTCAGAAGTCTCGTGTTGAAATACTTACATTTTCTGTTTGTCTTGTGTCATTTATTGATGTTACTAATGCCTCTACCTTCTAACCATTTATTATGGCATTGAGGGGTTACTGCAGCCACTAATTATAAATGTATGTTTACACATTCATAAATGTTCATGTTTTAGCAACATGTATTATAAATAACTTAGTTTATCTTTCCCCCTCCACTTCCCAAAAACCTGCCATCATCTCAAAGCTTGCCATCCCCCAGCGATATGACACCATATAATAGGAGATTTTGAAATTAGCGAAGTTATTGTTTTATCTTGGAAATTGAAGTTTTCCCACTTACAGATGTTTGCACCACTTTTTACTGCCCCAAATCCAACTTGTTTTGGGGTTGAGTTACTGAGGTTTTATCAAGCTATACACACGTCAGGAAGGTGGGAGACATTCGTACATGAACACCCGTGGACCTCTCTAAATGGGAGAGCATTCGAACAACCAGGGCTGGTACAGACCAACCTCCGTGTAGTTCAATGGAAATGAAGCTAGAGGACAAAAACTCTTTGCACGTGTTTTCCATTCCAGGAGCCTGAGTTGTATTTTACTGATCCCCAACATCTGTTGTCTATTTTCACGGAGATGGAGGAAGAGTACTTGTCCCTCGTTCAGAATTCCCCAGAGACGGAAAAAAGTTTGGACAAGGTCCAGCACACTTTCATCACCACACATGAAAGCACGTAAGTGTGACCCTGCAATTGGCGGGAAGGACTCTCTGTGCCCCAGTTTTCAAACATAAGCGACCCCTCTTCCCCCCACTAGCACCTCACCATCAGGCTGCAGGCCACACATAATCAGCCATCAGGCTGCAGCACACAAGAAAGAGTCTCTTTCTCATACCTGAGAACCCAGCTGCAGCCCACCCAACTCACCATCTTGTAAGCTCCTGGGAAAGTGTCCCTTCTACATAATTTAGGAGATAGGACTTGAGCCTGGGACTAGTTCTTTAGTCCTCAAGGCACAGGCTGGGGGACTGATGCATTAACATCCTGGAGTGAACATAAGCCAGAAGTATCCTGTAATTCTCATAGAGAAAGATCAAAGGAAGAAACAAGGCATGTTCTGGAGTGATCTAGACCAGCACCTACTCTGACTCAACACAAACCCTTACTAGAGGAAGCCAGCAAGTGCAATTGAAATACAGTATTTCAATGGCAGATAGACACACATCTTCCCATTCAAAGTGCAGCTTGTCCCTTTGTGAAAGTTTTTAAATGGAATCTACTTCCCCCACTGACTTCTTTAAAAGTGAATGTTTAGCTATGCCACTTCTCCCTCCCGGCCACCAGCACAGTAACTGTTACTCCAGAAAAATCACAAGGTCCCTCTGCTCTCAGAGATGTGGGTGGAAGTTCCCCAGAAAAGGCATGAATTGTTACCTCCATCTGCCGGCAGCAGGAGGGACAGTCCAGGGTGGAAAGCAGCAGAGGAGTCGTGTGTTAGAGACGTCCTTTTCAAAATAACCTCCTTTCTCTTCTGGCCTAGGGAGAAGAAGTTAGCAGAGCTGAAACAGCAGGTAGTCACACTCAAATCCTCCATCGCCAAGAACGAAGAGAGAGTAGCAGATCTGAAACGCAAAGTTCACCTCTTTTCCTCTGGAAAATATGAAGCTGATGACCAGGTATATCCCGAGATCAAGGGAAGGAGGTTTAGCACACACATACACGGTTCCTCTCCACCAGCCATATCCATCCTGGGAAGAAAGTGGACAACAGGTTGCACTGGGGAGGGATCAGCGCTGTTTCTCAGCCATGGGACTATAGTAAGGGCAGGTTTGGGGCACTGCTGAGGCAGCAAACTGGGAGTAATGTGTCTACTTCCACACAGCTGCTATGAGGTAGGAGTAGGGCTCGCAGAAGCAAGCAGGCAGCTGCAACCTGTCCCAGGCCACAGCAAAGCTTGGAAGATGAGACCAGCAGAAGAATGGCTCAATACAGCCATCTGTCCCAGGCACTGGTGCTAAGCAAACCAGCAAACACGCAATTGAGTCTTGTTGAGGAAATTAGTGTGCTATTTGCCTTTGGTTTTGGAGGGGTGATGCAGTTCTACTAGGCAGAACCCAGCCCTGTGTCTCACCACATCTCCTCTCATCTCCAGGACAAAATGCTCAGGAGCCTGCACAAGAAGGTGCTGGAAGTCTATTGCCACTGCACTGGAGAAAATGAGACAAACCTGCAGACACTGCAGATGCTAATGGTGATAGAAAAGCAGATCAATGATTTATTGGATAACCTGGAGAGAATCCCACCCGCAAAGGTAGAACAGGCCAAGAAGGCCAAAAGCATGAAATGGAGGATGCGGTAAGACAAGACCCTCTTCTGGAAATGGGGCCTGTGTTTTTAAAAGTTGCGCCACTGAGCAAAGCCACTGAAAGAGCCAAATTTGTCAGATCAACTCTATAAAAGCAATCTGAAAGCCCACATGACCAATACATCCCATTTTACCTCTGTAATGGTTTCACATTCGTAGTACTCACCTCTCCCAATCAGCAAGCAATAGCTCACAGCTACATTAGAAAAGGGCAAAATCTGAAAAAAAGAAAAAAGAAAAAAAAAAACCAATAACCCTCCTAAGCAAATTAAATGATGAGAAGCACCATTTTAAGAAGACAATTTGCAGTAACAATATTTAAGCTGATTAAATAGAAAATTGCTCCTCTGTAGTTATTTAACACACTCAAAGTCTGACACACCCTGATATTTTGTCAGCCTTCAATAGGTACATAAGGGGACTGGTCAGTGTCGCCAGCTTTCAAATGTTTCTTCTACAAAACTGTTAACCTTAACTCATATTATTAAATTAAAATAGTAACCAATTAACACAGTAAAATTAGGTTCTGAGACAAGACACATTTCTCTTTGCTCAGTTACACACATGAAATTTCTCCTGGCAAAGAGCAGGGATGCAACTGGAGAGCTGGTTCTGTCTGGCCATCCCCAGGTCAATCAGATCCGGCAGAGGAGGGAAAAAAGGAAAAAAAAAACAAAACCAAAACCAAACAGAAAGCAATAGAAGGATTTAAAGCCAGCACAGGGACATTTCCCTCCTACTTACTCTCTTTCTCTACATCTTTCTTCACCTTTGTAGTAGAAAGGGTGGGATGCTTCTTCCTGATGTTCTGTGAATGGTTTCGCACTCTTAACTTACTGAAGGATTAAGACACATTTATTTTACTCTATGGACAGAGGACAAGAATTCAGGAAGGAACCTGACACCTCCCTCCCCACCCTTCCCAAATAAAAAGTGAAACCAACCAAACAGGAAAACCTTGAAAGCGCATTTAAAAGTTTCCTGGAGATCAGAAGGTTAAGAATTCCTTTCCCCTTTCAATAGCCTGAGCCCATTTCTGTTCCAGTGCTGCATTTCCTCAGGGACTCCCAGCCAGTGAACAGGACCAGCCTCCACTGAGGCAAGTGTAGCTCCATGGATGTAAAACCCTCCTACCCCCTCCGTACATTAGACTTGGGTGCACTGGTGGGAACTTAAGACACAATAACCATCGTTCATCCATAAAGTGAGCATCCTGGTCCACTCTAGAGGCATAAATCACTTCCTGAAGGTGGTAGAGAGAGTCATCTATAAGAGAACCCCCTGACATTTCCGTTTGCAAAGCTTGATGTGCTTTTTCCTCCCCTCACTCCAGAAAGTGAGTGAGGATCAACTGCACCAAGTGCTTCCCTCTGACCAGCAGCTCCTGCTCTCACTCCAGCCCTTGCACTGGGGTGGCCTTGTGCCGTTAGACAAGCTGTGCCTCAAAAACACATCTGGCATAGCCGCACATGGCATCTAACCCATCCTTTCTGTGCTCCCTTCAAAAGGCTCAGAGAGGAAGCGCTCAGAGAACAGAAGCAGCAGCAGGAGGAAAGACTGCAACGGGCCCTGGAAAGATCACAGGCAACGATTAAAAAACCGGTAAGTGCAGTAATCCACAGGAACACCTCGCCCCACCAGCCCGCTCCAGAGAAGCTGGGGGTACTGAACGTGAAGCGTTTGAGTGTTACATGAGGCCACCACAGCCAGGTGAGGATGGCACCCACACACCAGCACATAAGTCTTGTAAACTGGGCTACAACTTCAGCAACTGCTGGGAAGTCAGTTGTGCCAGGAGTTACTCCAGCTCCGCGTTTTTCCATCGTCCTTCTCCTATCCTTGTGCCTTGGCTATGTAGCCCCTCAATTATTTGCCAATTTTCTCATTAAGCTCATTTCAACTTGTTAACCTGGCAGTATGTTTAAAAAAAAGCATGAAAATCAGCAAAAGAGGAATCGGGCAGCAGCAGGACACTGCCTACAGCAGCAAGCCCCTAGACCAGTTCAGCCATGGCATCACACCACTCCCTTTTTCTGGCATGTTTGGCATTATCCCAAACTGAGCTTCGGCCCCTTGGGAGGTACCGTGCAGAGCTTCAGGCCATGGCTCCATCTGCACATTTCACGGGCCAACACAATGGTGAGGATAACCCAGTTCTCAGTCACACACCAAGCTGGTGACAGCATGGGTGATTGAGGACAGGCACCATGAGTCCCTGCCCCTCTACCCAAGATAAAATAAGAGGATTCTGCAGACTCTCAAAGCTATTTCTTTGGACTTCCATGCTCTTGAAATTATATAAATAAGGCTTTAGTCAGAAACCAGTTGCTGGTGGAATAATACTTTGTAGAAGCTGAAGTGATAGCACATGCACGGCCTTCAGGCGTTTGACAATTTTTAATAGAAAAAAGGGCGCTTAATAGACACACTGAAACCTGCCTAGAGAGCAGAGAGCAAGGGGCCATGGCCCCTCGCAGCAGGAGAGCCTGGCAGCACAAAGCTGCAGCACCAGGCCCGCGGCTGCAGCGCGGCACTGACACAGGCCTCTCCTCTCCCTCTGCAGAGCGGCCGGAGGCTGGTGTTCCGCTCCAACCCACCTGCCAGGAAGGAGAAGAAAAAGCCGAGCCAAGAACAAGTGGATAAGGAGAGGGAAGAACAACTCTATTATTTCACCTGGCAGCACAGCCCCGATGCTAATGCTGCTCTAGAAAAATAATTTTTTCATAGATGTAGAGTCTGTCAGTCTTTGCTGAGTTAATGAACTTCATGGTCCTATGAAATTCCCGGTCTCCTACCCCAGGATCCCAGAGAAAGCTGTTGTGTTAGGCACATTTGCCTAAGAAAATAAATTAAAATTCTCTCATTTTGCTTCTCAGGCTCCTGCTATCAACAATGCTTCTCTCATTCAATTTTTGATGCAAATAACACTATCCCTACAAACCCAACAAGTGAGATTTATCATAGTCCCAGGTAACAATCTTTGTTATGGCACAGCTAAGCCAGGCACCTGCCAGACATTTGTTACAATCACAAACCTGCTGCAGGACTATAAAAAACAAAGGCTCTGCTTTAATCCAAAGGATGGGTTTCATTATAGACTCCACCCCACTACTGTGGAGAAGAAACAATCAAAGGAAAAACACCCAGCTTTGCAGAAATCAGTATCAGAATTGCAAAAATCAAAGTTAATACTTAGCTTTATGTCAGATGCATCCATACAAAGAACAATACCCATTGACAAACTGACCAAAAAAAAAAAAAAGCTTTATTAACCCTTTTGCACCAGCAGGTGCCCATTGCCAGCAATGGAGTTCAAGCCAAGTGATCCAATTTTCGGCCCCAAGAGGTTAGCACTTTACATTCACTTACAAAGCTGAGTGAGGTACATTTTCAGAAGTAGAAAGATTCGGTTCAAGTCCCATAAAAAGATGGAGTGTTCCTTGGCCATTTTAACAGATGAAGAACTGGTATGGTCCTTGAGGACAGAATAATGCAGGCATTGGGAGCTCGAGGTGTCTCAGCTTCCAGGAAGAACACGATGACCACTAGCACAAGACCCAGCAGTCCCCGTTCAGCGTGATTCCTACTCAACCTTTTTACCTCTTAGGAGTGGACTCTGTGCTGCAGTCACAGCTACCAGGCAGAAGATCTCACCTACCAATTAGTTTGGCTTGGAAACCCAACCTGAGGGGGTTAGGAGATTCCCTGGACATAAGCTGTAAACTCAGGTTGAAAGGAACAGAGAGACCTCAATGCTCAGTTAAGCTAAAGATAGAAAAATAAAACTGGTTCAACCAGAGGATAAAATACTGCCTACAAATCGGGATCTGAAGTCGAATGTAACCTGTATACTTCTTTCTCCTCCCCAAGTCTTTAACCAAAAAAGCATTTATCTAGACACATACATAGTTCAAAAGGCACAGGAAGTAAAAGCATTTCTGAATGACCTCGTGTGAATTCAACATCAGTATAACTGTAAAATAAATAAATATGTGCAAGATTAGAAAGATCACAACGTTCTTCTGCATGACATATCTTACTTTGTAAAAAAATTACACATACGTGCATACACACACACCTCATTGAGAATAAAAAACAGTACATACACCCTTTTATCAAACTCCTATACATAATTTTATAGGCATTCAGTACATCACCATAAGAAACATTTAAATTACTACCTTAAAACGTAACCAAAGGTGTGGTTTTTTTTTCCTATACAACCCTATACTTATTTAGTTGTCTGCAATCCAGTAAGTACAGTACATACAACATCTCCCCCTGCCCCCAAGAGAAACTGCAGTTTTTCAGTGGGGCAAATCTTCCCAGGTAACAATTCTTTTCCTCTCATAAAATACTCTGAGAACTGCATATTCTGTAAACCAGCCGGAAGCTCCACGTGCATGTGACACTGGGATAGCAATGAAGAACAAGTGTTAACAGTGTTCAATTGAGAGGGAAAGAAACCAACATCAAAATAAAAAAATAGTGGCCAGCTTACAGGTAACTTGGCAGCAGTTGATAAATGAGAGAAAATCAAGGTGCTTAAATTTACATGACAGTCAACATTCCTCCCAAAAAAAGGGAACACAAAGATAAAACAACCTCTCTCAGATACTGTTGGGCTCTCAGCTATACACTTACAGTCAGCACAGTTCTATTGCAGTTTTCTTTTTCAAGTTTTGCTGGAAGAATTCAGCAAAATATTTGGGACGCAGGAGCAAGGAAAGGGAGAAACTCAACATGAGCTACAAACTGATTCACAGCTAAGTTAACATTTAGAATCTAGCTTTCTAAAACAAAGATTTCAGAGCATCTCATTTCCATGGCATAGGATATTAATTTTGTTACCTGTGGCACTTTATTCCAGTTTTCTGCCAAAACTGGGGCCGAAAACATTCTTCTTTTGTGTAGCAAAAATACTTGCAAATTTTAGCTCTTAATTCCTCGATGCCACTGGCTCCAGCAGGAGACCAACGGAAGAAAAGTTTTAACTGTTATAGGTAGGATTATAAATTTGTACTTGTTAGCTGTAGAATACTTGCTTTCCTGTGAAAACAGTAACTATTACCTCAGTTTGAAGTTTAATACAGTACTTCTCCCTGAACAACACTGTACAGCAGTCTGCCTTGGGCTCTCCAACCGCGAGGCAGACAGGGTATCTTACACAGGCACATCAAGTGGGATTGACTTTTTTTACAAAAATCTTTCAGCTGCAACTGTCCTTAGCAAATTGCAAAGTGTGCAACCACAATCCAGTACTCCCAGTTTTCATATTTTCCTTGGGAAAAGACCCACAGTTATCTCACTCTGTCAAGACATGATTGCCCAATTTGTTTTCAAGTAGCTGTTCTTAATAATGGTCATTCCAGATCCTGTAAGTTTATTGTGCTTCCAGTGAACTGAGAGTTATCAGAACCTGCATCATCTTCAGTGGAATTGTGTGGTTCCTGTTAAAGCAAACAGAGAGCACGAAGAGTTCAGTGATTGCACCTCTAGATGCTTTTAATGCTTATCAGTAAGATTACCTTGACATTTACCCTAGAGCAGAGAAACACTTTGAATGGTTTAAAGAAAACCCAAAGGTCTCCCACTGTGGGGATCTGCTCAAACTGTGCCGCTCCAGTTTTCCCTTTGGAACACTTCAGATGAGCATTAATAATGGAGATAAATTTAAGATCACTGACTATTTGCATTTCCTCTATTAACTCTTTGCCATGGCCAATGATCCTACTACTTCTAGGTTTATCATAGTAAGGTGCTCCTCTCAAGTATAAAAGCTTTATTTTCTATCCAGGAGAAGCACACTCAGTAACGATAACTGAATTGCAGAGTTTGTCAAAAGCAAAGCCCCATCTCAAGTATAAAAGCTTTATTTTCTATCCAGAAGCACAGTCAGTAACTGAGTTGCAGTTTGTCAAAACCAAAGCCCCACGTGGTCAAGTAGAAAATATGCTTTATGCACATGCTAATCATTCATTGCTCTTCAGTTCTCAGCTGCTCCTGCTCACGAACATGCAGTTTACTGGAACAGCAGATAACAAAACATTGACACAAGAAGCTATAAGAAGTTTTCTGTGTTCAAACACCACTGACACTCAGTAGTTAATGTTGGCAAGTAGTGAAACCAAAGACTGTAGAAGCGAGCAGGCGTTTTGATCTGACATCCCCATATGGACACCGATGGCAAGTAGTGAAACCAAAGACTGTAGAAGTGAGCAGGCGTTTTGATCTAACTGACATCCCCATATGGACACTGCTCTGAAATCTAAGCTTAAGGTTTTATTCCCCACTTCCCAGCCTTCCTGTAGCCTGTTGCATATCAATTCCAATCCTCTTTCTTGACCCACATAGTATCTGCAGGATGGGATCAGGAAAACAAGGATGGGGCACTTCAGTAGTAAATGAGTAACATTTCGTTTTCATTACTCAGTAACAGAGGAAGAAAAACAACCACCTATGACATGTCAAAGGTAGGTAACATACACAAGATACATCTTGCAGTGCAGCGCCCTGTTTACTACTTCTTCTAAGTGAAATTAAACTCCCAGTGGAAAACGAGATATTTTCATTAGGCAGAACACCAGCATTCAGAATACACTGTCTTCATTTTCAAGTGAGGCAGTAAAAACCAACAGCTCTGACGTACTGTACCTGAAGTATGTGAACAGGTAAATCCACTGTAAGCTGAGAATGTGACGAGGAGGACTGAGAGCTCAGTTGAAACGGCAAGTCTCCCTCTCCTGGGGAATCATCCTGTGAATGCAGAAACATGATGTGATGTTTGTAAGACCCCCAAGAATCTCTGCACATCATGGCAAACTTCACTCAGCCTCACAAAAATCTGATAAAGCTACTGCACCTCATTAGTAAGGCCTAGATCCACAAAGATATGGGGAAAGCTAACTGCCACTTCAATCTGAACCCAGCTCACTGTACAACATACTATCCCATCATAATCAACTCTGAAAAACTACAAGATCTGAAAAGGGAGGGAGGGAGAAATGGTTCATCTTCCAACAAACATAACACTCCAAAATATGTGACAATTTTCATTATGTTGTGTGAAGCTGATACTCAACATAAAGGTTGCACCCGTGAGAAAACCAGAAAGAGGGAAAACTCTGCCCATTGCTTCCTCCATACTGTATGTTGTTAGGAATAAAGTGGAATTAACATATCCTCTTCTCTGGATACTACAGATATATACCTGGCCAAAAACATACTACCCACTAGGCTCCACTATCAGCCCACACAGATGACTAGGTATTTTTAGAAAAAAAACCTTAAGCTTTATTTCAACAGTTTAGAGAAGTAGGAATTTAGGCTGAAACTTCATTTTGCAAGAACCTTTTCATGTCAGTCTCACTTATCTTGTAAATGAGAGAGAAGTGGAGTAATGTAAGAATTTGGGGGTGGTGTCAACAAAGATAAAGACTGGAGGAAAAAGTCATATTCCCATGCAAGCCCTAAGGTAGGAGTCCTTTGCTTTTGGAAGAACAATTACCCCATACTTTGGGACAGGAATGTAGCATCTGTTTTCCTGCTCTCATAACTGCCTCTCCAACCAGGAAAATCTTAAGCCCTTCAAAGTTCACAACTCTTACGTGCAAAATGCAAGTTTGCTAAAAGTCTTAGTTTCATCACAGAGTTTCCTGCATCAAATGTATCCAGCCTCAGAAGCTTACAGGATGTTTCAGTGCCCATACATTCAAGACTGGAGTGATTATTAGTACTAAACCAAATATAAATATCTTACCCATTTCCACAATGCATCTGTTTGGGCCCCCAGCAGTTGTATGATTGACCCAGCTGTTTTCAGGCATTTCTAGACCTCTGTAAAGCCAGTTTCACACAAACATC